TTGTAAACGTATTAGGATATATGTCTCATACATATATATATATATATGTGATATACACTTACTGTGGGATAAAGTGTACTGCTATTTTATTACAGAAGTAAGACTTGCCACATGAAAAAAATGCTAAAAAGTAAGAAAACATAACTATAAGCCTATAATTAAAAAAAAAAAAATCTCACTACAAAGCTGTTCTTGGGGACTATCTACCATGTTTTCTTTTTGCTGGAAATGAGTAATAAATGTCATGAACCTTTCAGAACTGTGCCTACCATACAATATTTTAATTTCTTTGAACATTATATTTATACCTGTGATACTGCTGCGTGAAGTTTTATATTTTAAGACAAGAGAAACTCCCCTCCCAAAATATCCTGTAATCTTACTGTTCCTTATTCCTTTAACTGGAGCAAGCTGGTATGCCTGAAACATGTTTTGCGATAAATTTTCCACATCTGTATAGCAAGGGTAAATTTCTAGTAAGTGAATGGTACTATTAAATCTAATTCCATGTGCTTCTATTTTCAACATATGGATTATTAGATACTAACATTTCAATTATTTTTAAGTTTACAATAAGAATAATGTACCCTTCTTACAGACATGACTGTCTAGGGATAAAAGGGTTGCAGTGACAGAGAAGTAAGTCAGTTGGACTTGTGCAATTGGAAGACAATCTTTTGGGGATGGCATGGGAATGGTTTGTGCATCCAATTTTTTCCACTTGCACTGGTTACTCTAAGAGAAGTTCTTACTTCTATCTACAAACCCTAATTTTACAATTAATTTTTCAAAAGCTGCATATGTTTCCCTAGCTGCTTCACAGACATTTTGTTTTGAGATCCATATCCTACATATGCCAAAAGTTAGTGAGATTCTTCTAGAATACCCTAAAGACAGTATGTGTCAAAGACTGAAAGAACAAAAGCTATTTTTATTTAAATAACTGCCTAGCAAGACAAATGAACAATGCAACTTCTTTTGGAGCTTGTCAGGCAAGATCCTGAGTCTGAGGATCTGATCTGTGATGACTTTTCATATGAAAAATATTCGCTAAGTGCAATGAATATGGGAAGATTTTTATTCCCAATACAGCAATGTGAAAGAAGCCAAATCACCTGTCATTCATGTTAATTTAATTACAGGACCACATTCAATTATCCAATATAATATGCAAATGAAGTGAGTTGATAGCACATGCTAATTATATTCATTATAATAATTAAATCAAACAATGAAAGGGAATAAAAATGTAATGAAATAGAAGGATATTTTAATTAACAGGAATTTTAATTAGAAACTGTAATCCTATAGCCTGATACAGTATGATTGGCTTATTGAAAGATTGGACATTATTTTTATTATGCAGTTTAGTTTTACATGTCTGTCCTTAGTATCATGGGACCTGTTTTCGTATGTTAATAGATTAAATGGTGGCCAAAACAGAGAATCAGTTTCCTTGATCATACTTCATGCAAAGCAGATGCCTAATAAAGCCGAGCTCCGCTACGGCATGATTACAGAATCCCGTCTCATGAAACACAGGCTGTCTAACGCTATAGTAAACAAAAGTTCACGTGCCGGTACAAAACAGGCAGTAGAGTTTAGGCTTGACTAATGATGTTAAGGCATTTAAAATATTAAAGAAACAATCTTCGCTTTTTGAAATTTTCAGTTTCATAACTGATTTATTTCTTCAGTGACAGCAGCTGCCCTGAAAAAGCTTTATGAATGTTAAAACAAAATACAAAAAAAGGAAAGGAATATTTTATGTGGGCAGAGTCAGCAAAATCATAGTCTTTTTAAAATAAACAGAGCAAGCACTATCAAAACACTTAGGAATGCGTTCCTTAGGAATCCATTGTCCTCACCGCTCCTTGACAGAATTGCTCCTTGAGCCTGGACCAAAAGCCAGCTGTGGTGAAAACGCTAACTGGGACCCCAGCCACTGTCTGTGTGTGTGTGTAGGATCCACCATGAGGCCCTCCTCGTATTTGGGGCTCCTGGAAACTGCAGTGAAATAGGAACCTTGAAGCTATACGAGAGAGAAAAGAACTTTCCTTTTTTAATTTGCCACTCAACTAACTATAAAGACTTTTACAGATAGTGTAATAAAACCAGACAAGCCTGTATTACATTAAATGATTGGCACATGATGCTCTCAGATGATTTTCTTCTATGAATGTGCAATATTTAGGAAATTGCCCTTTTATTATTTTGACTGCACAGTGGTAATAATTCACTTACTTAAATCACAGTACTACTACAGAAGGTCAATGTTGAGGTTGACAGGCTGTAAAATTTCCTTTTTAGAAATCTATTTATTCTCCAAACTGGGAAACTGCAAATTTTTTGAATAATTAATGCCTTTTTTTCCTTTATTCCAGTATGCCATTTTGGATATTTATCTGTTGGTGCAGGTAGAAAAAGGAATCAGAAAAGGCACACCAAAAACTCCAAACAACTACTTGTTCTTCTATTTTTTTTTGAGAGTTGAAAGGAATGAAAACATACAAAGGTTTGTAATAACGACTACAAATTTAGAGAGCAAAAGACTTATTTAAACTACAAACGTTTCAAAACAAATGTACACTTGACTGCAAGAATAATGTGAATCTGCTTTGAATTACGTCAGTTATTGACTCCTTCAAAGTTTGTTGAAATACTAAATAAAAAGAGCTATCAGGCTCTATGGAAATTTGTTTTCATAGCTCAAGTCTGGTGTATCTATTTTTATTATGCAGTTCTTTCCACGAGTTCAAGCCTACTATTTGAAAGCTTTCACTGTGAGACCAATTTTTTATTTTTAGTAGGACTCTGCAGATGGTCAACAATGAAAGAAAAAATTGGAAACTCATAACATAGTAAAAAATTAAACCATAACTGAATGAATAGAAAGCACTTCCCTTTTCATGAAAGGCATCATATCTGTATTGGAAGTCACAACACTAACAGCCCCTGAAAATAATGACCGTAAGCAAGTCTCACTGCCTGCCTAGTAACGAAAGGAAAAATACTTCCTTTTACTAAAAAAACCCTTCCCCACATTTTGCAAGTACCTGAGCGAGCAATGCTTCGGTTTTTCAAAATGTTTTTTTCAAACAAAAAACCCCAAACCAAAATGCCACTTCCTCAGCTAAAAGCTTATCAAATAGGAATGTCAGAAATTAAATAAAAAGTTAAGCACGTCATGACATCTCTTGAGACAGTACCACCAAAGCAAACCACCGTAAATACTGTTTTTAGTGTATGAAAAGTACTACCATACCGCGGTTGTTTAACCAAAGACCTAAACATGACTCTCACAGCTGCAGAAGCTACTTTTTAATCTTGAAAATTAACTCAGTCTGGGGGTAGATTAGTGATGGCACATGACCTCAACCCCAAGTGCACATGCTGAAGACTCCAAGACACTGCAAAATCACCAGCTGGGAAGCATGCCCACAGACAAACACATTTTGCACATACTTAGTCTCTTGACTGCCTGCTGGCAGCCGACATAGCCAGCTGCTGCCGTGGCACGGAGCCTGCTCGCCATGGTCGGACCTTCGCCCCTGGGCACGAATGCTAAACAGCGACAGGCACTACAGACTACTATATCTGACATCGCTGGTAGGAAATCCCTCTTCTGTGCTATTCCTGGCACGTTTATAGTGGCAAGTCCTCCGTGCAATGAATCACATCTGTTTATGCTTGTGTGCCAGAAAAAGAATTTTTAAACTGCAGAGAAAAGACAACATTGTTTGCTGGCACTTCTGAATGCCAGCAAGACCCATTGTAGCAGTGGGAATCAGAAAATGGCAGCAATATCACATAGATTTTCAGAATGACCATATTCAAAAGTGTTGCCCACAGTCAGCTCCAGACCCCAAGTGGGATTTGATTGCACAGGGTAGGAAGGCTGCAGGATCCTCCCTCCAGCTGTGGCCAAAGCCACAGAAACATTACTATATAATTACATTATATAGTTATATAATATTTCTGACAATATTGTCAGCTTTAAGGTATTATAATGTTCCAATTATAGTCAACAACTGTAAGAACATTATTGGACAGCTTTTCTCTAAACCTTTGCTGACAAGTTGTAACACTTTTCTTCTGCTCTTCGGGTTAACTGAGGGGACTAAGCTCCTCATCCTGAACCCCCACACCAAAAGCTGAACAAAACCAGGAACCAGGTGTTACAAGTATGGAGAGAGAACAAAATGAGTAACTTCACAAAATACAGCATTCAACTGAATCACACCAAAGATACAGGCACCGTAACACAGTTTCTACACATCCAGAGTCAGGTTCACGCACTCAAAAACAAAGAGCAAGTGCCAACTTGTGCCCTGCCCAATACACACTGAGAGGCTACACATAAGCTGAGGAAACTGGGAGACTTGAAAGTATTTGCAATAGTTTTTAAGTTTTGTGTCTGAGTTATTTTATAAGCTATTCTTACTAGTACGAGCAGTCACAGAGTCCACTGGCAAAAATGGACAACAATTAAGGAAGCTGGAGGGGGATTTCCACTGAGTATTTGTTTTACTACTAAAAAAGATGCAAGGAAAAGAAGGGCTTAAACTTAAATGAGCACTCTGGCTACCAGGGAGATGGCTACATTGGCACCTGAGGACATGCATTCATGGCAGACTAGCTTAGTTGGCTTTAAAAGGGTTTCACTTGGGTACCACAGCCATCTGATCAAGTTGACATGAAGTTAACTTGGAATTAAAAATATCAGTTGCTAAGTATAACTTGGCAGCAAGTAAGGCTAGTTAAAATCAGTGCAATGTCAGCATCGTCTGCATAAGAACACAGAGTTTCGTTATGGCCACGTAATATTAATATTTTTGTGTTAAGATGCAACTTCAGCTTCTATTTTCCAAACACAAATATTTGCATTCACAGGAATACCAAGCGCTTCAAAAATAACGTTGAGGGGATTAGTTTTCTTGAGGGATTCATGACTAAATGTGCACTTGATAACTTCTGATTCCATTTTCCATTTGCCTTACCTGATTATCTGTGTTGTTTACAGTAAAATATCCCACACAAATAATGACTTCATGTAGCAGTCCTTCACAGGTATGCTGGGAACAGTACCACAGCAGAGAGCTGATAATATGCCGGAATGCAAGGGACAGTCCTTCAGCACCCACAATAGACTGAAAAAAAGACCAAAACCCAGAAATTACAGTTTAGCAGTATGTTACAGAAATTGTGTGAATTACATACACATCAATTGCATCCTTTTTTTTTTTTGCCAAGTATAGACAATGTTCTTTGTTGCACTGACTTTGGAGGAGGACAGAATCAGCTCTTTTCTTTCAGTAACTTATCATTTACAACTGGACTATAAGAATAAATTCAAATTTTAAGGGGACACAGGAAAAATGGAATTCTGCTTAGTTGACATTCAGTGTAGCATTAGGTTGACCATTTCATTTGACATACATTATATGTTCCAGGAAAACTTAATGCCAGTAAGATTTCTTAGTAATAAGCAAAAGAAACCAAACCGTCTTCATTTCTGCAAAAAAGCAAAATGCATTTCTCATTAATAACTTGTGCTCTGAATGGAACATGAAGATTAATAACAAATAATGACTTTTCAAACATTAAAAAAAGTTAGAAACATCCAAAAGCAGAGAACACTCAGCTGCAAAGCTTCTTGGGATGCTTTTTAAAAGTACGCAAATTGCTGTAACATACAGATTCAGAATTAGATTTTATCTGCGCAGCCTACAGCCTCTATTTAATAAACATGTCAAACAGACAGAACGACACAAGGTCAAAGGGGAAAACTAAAGCACAAGGAATGAGCATGACAGTCTACTAACTCTAATGAAACGGCAATGCAGGCCTGTGAGAAAATCTTTCATTGGAGAGTTTTCTTGATTTTATACCTTGTAGCCTGTGTTAAGTACATATACATAAATCCAAGTCTGTAGTATAGTTTAGTTTCAGCATGCTCCAAATCTATCCAGCGAAAGTGGAATCCTTGACAAAACACTCAGCTCTGGTTCCATGTTGAACCTCAAGCGTTCCGGTAAGTTAGTATGTTTGTATGTTTTCAAAATTTAATGCACAATACAGCCACTATTTACTGCTTTACATCATGTAAATGCCATGTTCTTAGGTCCACCCTTATTTAATTAGTGCTGTCCACGCATGCTGTGACCTAGCACTCTGGGTTTAACCTTCCCTGATAACAACAGGTCAAAGGGCACCTGAGTTTGTGTATAAAAGTTAAACTAATTTTTCAAGGAAGCTATGCTTCCTTTTTAGCCAGAATTAATATCAGCTCAGGATCCTGCGTTGTTTCTCACTACCATCTTTCAATTGTTTAGACTGTCAAATTAAATGAAATATATACCCATGAGCCATCTGTGCTAATACAAACTCTAGAATACCAGACCTCTTCTGTTAATCAAAAAGCCCTATTCTATAGTCCTACTATTACATGATAAAACTATTCCTTAGAGATAATAATCAGACAGTACATAAACTACGCTTTTCCCTTCTGCTGTCTGCTAGCCTGCTACACCCCACAAGGTCAGAATGGACAGCAAACTGCCTCAGGTGTATGTTGATTTTTTAACATTACAGAAACAAATCACATTAATACATTGAAAGGGATAGCTGCTGAGACTACACAAGTGTGTCTGTCCATCACAAACAATATTAAGCCTACAATTCAGTAAGACAGCTAAGTGGATACTTCCTGACTGGAGCCCTGCATTCACGAACTGAATAATTCACACTGGTTAGTTTTCTACCGCCCTTTATGCAATAATTACTATCTTGCACCATTTTATGTAGAACAAACTAATGCAGATCGTGGGATTTGGGAATTAATGCTGACGGTTTGTTATAAATGCTCAGACACAACGGTAGTTGGTAGAGGGATAAATACAGACAGTGTAAGTGGATGCCTACATTTTAAAAATTAATAGTGGTTTCTTGAGGTATCAGTGGGACAGCCCTTCAGCCACTGCACTTTGCCATAGCCCCCCTGTAAGCTGTAACTGTCCCAATTCAAGTCTTACTCTCTGGTATATACCTGTAATATCTACAGCAACAAATAAACATCCAGTCTCAAACCAAGAGCTACTGAACAAGCTGTAGAAGAGAACTACTTTGATACACTTTGATTTACAGAAAGAAATGGGAGTTAATGGTGTGTGCAAGAGTTGTTTTACATGACATTTCAATAGACTGTTTCTGTGCCCCGTAAAAAAAACCCTGACTGGACTGGATCCTGCAACTGCATTTATACAGATGAATATTGTTAACAGCAACAAGCAATTTGCGTATCAGAGACACTAAATGTCCTAACAATCAAAGTGAAGAAAAATGAACTGAAGGAGACTTACACTGAATTCTTTACTCATGCAAAGCCCTTGCAGAGTTTAATGCATTTCAGGTGGAATGTGTGGTACAACTTCTATACAAATTACATATTAAATGAGACATAAACCTATGATGATGAATTGTATGAGATTGATGCTGCTAAATGTGTTTTGCAGAGCAAAACGTGATCTTTTTGAGTTATTTTGGTGAATAAAAATTATGAAAAGTTCAATTTCCAATTTTTGGTCAATAAAATTTTACTTGGATAAAAAAAATTTGGTATCAAGCGATTTTTCAGTTTCAGTTGTACAATCTTAATGCAAGTGGCCACTGAAAGCATTGAAAGTCCTTTCCCATTAGAAAAACTGTTATTTCATGGTTTTGACTGAGATTCTTTTTTACATTTTTGGGGCTTATTAAACATAAAAAGTATTAGCTAAAAGTGAGATTTTTTGAATAGTAGTAGTAATGGATGGGATACAGCATTTTGCATAGTTCAAATTTTCACTTTTTGCTTAAATTCATTTGCCATAGCTATACAGTGGAAATAACAATAATTAGCAATCTTAAGCATGACAAAATCCTGAACATTTAATCATGAAAGTTCCTTCAATAACTAAGATCTTAAAGACAAAACTTAGTCCAAAAGAATATGCAATAATTAACATCTTCACACTAAGCAAAAGTTTTAAAACATCTTTTACCTGAAAGGCAGGCAGATCAAGAACAGCAAAACTATTGAAGAAACGTAAACTCTGAATGGCAACCTGGATTGTGTTCGCTGCATAGCTGTCTTTAGGACTTGCTGTGTTTGGATCTGAAATTGTCCCGTGGAAAAGAACGCAGTACAGCATATGCAAGACTCCAACCAGATCCGTAGACTGAAGAACTGCTGTTAGTCCTGTGGGGTCCTGACGTGTATTGTCAAATATATTCCAAGATCTGTCAAAGAAACATGAAGCCGTCTGAGGAGGAGACCAGCACTCAGTGAGAACACTTGCCCAGGATGCAGTACTTCTAATAAGCCAAATGTTAGAAAAACAGTAAACTGCTAAAAAGGAAAAAACCTGATGCCTAATGTGTTAAGAAACCACAACATTTCCAGAAAATACTTTCAATAATCTGGGCACCATCTCATGCTCTCTTTAACTGCAGTGCAGCTTTATCTTTAAATATCTTTCTCCATGTACTGGTGTCTCTGCACCCCAAATGGGTTCATGATACCAGCATAAGACCATGCAGAAATTCGACAGCTTTAAAGTCAGAAGCCTGGGGGCACTTTAGGGGCTCAATGCAAGCTTTGTCTCAGGCCAGTAGCCTACACCCATCTTGCTTTCTTGCAACAGCAGCCAGCAGAGGTGGGAGAACTCCCTGGAACATCTCACTGCCTCAGTGACAGGCTGCAGGCACTGGAACAAACTGCCTACCTAAGTAGCAAAGTAAGTTACCAGGACCAGATGATCTTTATCAAATAGTTCTGCAGGAATTTAAGAATGAAGTAGTTGAGCAGTTAGCAAAACGCACTACTTCTCAGATGTTATTATGGGAGACTGTATGGTAGGCAAAGCACAAATAAGCATGAAATGCTCAAGACAAAACAGCACAGCTTGTGCAAATGGAAACTAGGTTTCTTTGGCATCTTTTGGGTATGCACATAAATTAATGGAGAAGGTTTTTGGTTATCTAGGGTATGAGGACTGAGAGGCAAATAACTGAGGATGCCCTTTCCCTTCTCATATTCAGACTTTCATAATCCCTCCACGATCTGTACTGTTTCTGTTTCTTCACATTATTAATCATCCAGAAGATGATGAAGGACAGTCACTGCTAAGGAAGACCAAGATTGTCACTACTCTGGATGTTAAACAATGTGTAGAAGGCAGGCAAATACAAAATAAAGCACACAAAAGAATTCAACAAGTTTTATATACTCTGAGTTCTGATTCAAACCCATCATGTAAATCCCTTGAACTTCATTACAGCAATACATTTAGTCTAAATTGGCCATCAAAGGAAACACTAAAATATTAAGATACAGTGAACAGCAACACTGAAAATATGGTACATCAAAATCTGGTCTTTACCTCATCTACTATGTTTCCATAAAGAAGAAAAAAGAAGAAAAAAGAAGAAAAAAGAAGGAAAAAGAAGGAAAAAGAAGGAAAAAGAAGGAAAAAGAAGGAAAAAGAAGGAAAAAGAAGGAAAAAGAAGGAAAAAGAAGAAAAAAGAAGAAAAAAGAAGAAAAAAGAATATCAACATCAAAAGAGACTATAAAGATTGAGTCTATATACTTTTTTTTAATAACTGAAAGACAATACAACAGGTGATATGAGAAAATGTTATAAAAGGACAAACTAGATGAAGGTATCTTTCCCTTTTATAACAACTAAAAGCAAAGGAGATGGGAAAGCAGTGGAAACAAGAACCACTTTCTAAAAGAATCTGTAACTTTGAAGACCTCAGTTGAATACAGAAACAAGTGGACACTCAGAGGGCTCAGAACATTCCTGTTGACCAGAATCAACTATTCCTTGACTAGGAAGGTTCTAAATGATGTTTTCAGTATCTCCATCAGAAGCACCTTGCACCGCTCTGTTACACACATTGCTCTGCTCCAGTGAAGTTTCCAACACAGATCCTAGGTAGGCTGACCAATCCTGCTTTTTGTGATACAGACACTTGTCTTCAATGGACCAACTAAACCACGAATTCAGCAACTACTGGGTTCTGGTGATCATCACCTTGTTCTGTCATTTTCACATTTTCTAGTGAAGCAAAAGAACAGGTAAGAAAGCACCACCTCACACAACAACAGTGTCTATCAATAACAATTTCTATCTGTAACAGCACACCATTGCTGCCTTGGACCAAAGAGAGAGAAACAGGCAGAGCAGGATAATGAACCTGCATTCTCCATGTCCCAGAGGACGCCCAGGTACTGGGCTAACCTCAAATATAGCTTAAACATTTAAAAAGAAGAATGAACAACAGTTAGGTGAAACACCATCTTTGCAGTTACAACAGCAAACTTCAAAGCTAGTATCTGTGCATTTTCTTGTGGATACAATTCTGTAAGGTAGCATGAGAGGGCACTAAAAACATGAGCAAGGCTGATGACCAGGTCCTTCTGATACCACAAACACCTGTTGCACCCCTGAGCAGGGACTGCTTAGCATCTGGGTGCGGACAGTGTACACAGCTACTGCGAGGAGGCTGACGTGCTGCAGGTGAAGGAGGGGAGACGTAGGAGGCTTAGGAAGGTTATTTCAGCACTCAGGCTATGAAGTATCTCTGCACACATTTCACAGCCTTTGAGTGGTCATCTAGCAGCTGTATCTGCCCTACAGCCAGGTGAATACGATAGGGACAGTATTTGGGCTGTACACAACTTACTGTACTAGCACCCGTCTGCTTCCATCACTGTCCGCTCACGTATTTACATTCAGAAAGCAGCTGCCCAGATGACTCACTTCTGCTTTTTATCAGTCAGATCACACGTGTAAGGAATTATCTTATCTGAAATTATGGGTACCATTTCTTTCCAAGTTCTTTCTGTTTACAGCCTGTGAATGTTCGATGTTACTGAAAAAGTTTTTAAGTACAGCATCTTCTGCTACCTCAAGAATTAATGTTCCAGTCCTATTTCAGCAATACCTATGCTGTACAAAAAAACACACGAGACTGTGTAATTATTTCATAGATCTTTGAAAGAAGCAATCAGATCTTTAAGACACACAGTAAGAACAAAAGCAAGGTAGCTGTGCCTATTTTCCAGTGCCTGTGTTGTTCCACAAGTGACTCCATTACCACCAGTCACCACTGGACCTCCACTACAACTCTGCCAGTTAGGGTCAGCCATTTGTAGAGAGTCAGCTGGAGATGAACATGTCTGAGTTTATTATACAGGTTCCAAGGACAGGGTGTTTGTTCAATACCGTGATAGCCAAATGAACTCCTAACAAAGAAACTGTGCTACAAAAGCAGCCGTGACAGCGCTTCAGAAGGCCACCAGCGTAGGATTCTCCCAAAATACACGTAACAACATTTGAAAAACAAGGTGAAGTAAATTAAAAAGATAATTAAAATTATGATTTGATGCCACTTACCTGCTGCAAAAGAAGAACCACAGTCAGTCACCTTGCAGTTTGTAACACTCATAATGATCCTAACATCTACTCCATAAAGAATAAAAAAAGTAGAAAAAATACCAGAGCTCTAAGTGTGTTCTGGGTGGGGCCACGCTGCACAACAATTTATGGCATTACTTTGCTTTTCCTGCGCCTGGAATCCATGCCCAAAATCTTCATTTCGAAACTCTGTGGTCTTTGAGTGAGTGTGTTTGAACAGAGTCAGCAGAGACACTTCCTGAACCATCACCTGGCCTTGCCAGCTGTGCCTTTCTACAGATTCCCGCTGCGGAGTTTCAAGTCATGCTGGCACGTGAACCTGGCTGCAAGCGAGGAATGAACCTGGATGGCTGCAAAAGGAGGGCAAGCTAACACAGCTCTGGGACCACCTCTGTGCATTTCTACAACTTTGGTTTGTGTATCTGTGGACTCCTTAGTGTTACTCACTTTAAAATACTTTCTGATGTCCAATTATTTATTTTGCAGTATGCAGTAGCCAAAATGTGCTAACTTAACTACGCTCAAGTAACTAGAATGTTTATTTCCACAGTATCACATGAGAGCACAGCTCCTTTTCCCAACTAGTATTTCTTAATTTCAATCTTAGCTTTTTCAACAGTACAAAACAGAAAAAAAACACTCATGGTGAAACAATAACCCCAAATTAATTACTGCTTACGATACCTCACAGAATTTTTGGTAACTACATGCAATGAGAAGACTGACCAGTTTTACCAAAGGTTAAAGTTAAGATTGCTTTCAACTCTCACTCCATCATTATTTTTAAACAATTCCATATGAAAAAGCTTACATTGCTGGATGAAATCCTTTTACCATTTTGTGCTGCTCTGGAGCAGTGAATGAATCAAAATATACATAAAAAAAGTCAATTTTTAAAAACTCAACTTTAAAAAGTCAGTTTTAACTGTCATTTATAATCACTTTAAGCCTAAATGTTTACAATAAAAAGGTAAAAGGCATTATTCATACAGGCTGTAGGCTTTAAAGTAGAAGAAAATTTATATGAGATGTTGGAAAATAAAGCATGAACCTTTGTGTATGCTGCTTTGAGTGATTTTGGTCAAGTCTGCACAACAGCGGATTTCATACATTTAGCAGATTTTTAGTCCACCTCAAAGGTAAGCCCAATGAAAATTCAGTGATAACTGTTAGGACACAGACTGAAGTAAAAACCAATAAAAATCCTAATATCATAAGATGACGATGCCATACAAGAAACCCAGGTTTTACGTAACTAATGTTAAGCGAGGAGATTCCAATGGATGTACCTCCTTTTACTTCTCTTATTCAAAGAAGCTTACTCTCCGTGTCTGTAACAGCTGCCAAAGTAAAATAGTCAGTATGGACAAAACCCCTTCAATTAATCACTGAAGGGAAGCAAGACTTACAGGGTTTTTTACATTGGCCTATATAGCTGGGAAAACAGATAGGCTTTCAAACTTTACCAAGGCTCTACATTTAACACAGAAAAACAGGCAAATATTTATATTACGGTCAAAAAACCTGCAGGATCTTAAAAAGAAAAGTTTAATGAAATGCAGAGAATTTTCATTATGGGCTGCCATTATGATTTTCAGCTTCTGCCATCAAGGAGTCTCAGGAATTGGTACGGAGTTTATGACTTACAAAAAAGGTTTCAGAATTTAAAAATGTGGATATATCCATCACAGGAAAGAAAGATACTAAACAGTGGTACTTCATTGCTTAAAATACACCACTATTTATTAAAAACAGGAATTCAATACAGCTTGATGAGAAACAGCATACTCTGCATAACAAGTATAAAACTAAAAT